CCCACTGCCCAACAGCGATTCCATTGAGACCACCCATCTTGAGCTTAGAATTAACTCTGATTTTAAATCTTGTTTAAGGGTTTTTTTCTTGAGAGATCTTGCCTCTTAAGTGATACTAATTTCTTCTTGGCAGTATTTGATCACAGTATTTTAAATATAAATGCTATGTAAATAAGATTTTAATATAATTGATGACTCACTTTGAAATAGTTTTCATTTTTGAAGTATGTTTAGGCTGCAGTGGAAAAAAATAATTTTCACACACCCAGCTTAACATCTGAAATCAAAAGTATTCTAGGTTGCCTTTTTATTGGGTTGGCCCAAAAGTTCATTCAGGTTTTTCTTTTAAGATAATGTATTGAAAATATTTTTACATTGAAAAAAATAGATTAGAGTCTTTGTTTTACACAAAAACCACAAGCTACTTTATTCCAAATTTTAAATCAAGATCTTGAATAATAGCATGTGGTATCACCACATTTTAAAAATGTACTTAGTCAATCACAAACACATTTTCTAAGGAATTGAATTTTATAGAGATAATTGAATGCTTTCATCTGTAACAGAATTAGTGGCCTACAAACCACTGTGGTTTCTTGCTTTGTTCTGAAGTTGTTAAAGGGGGAATTTTCTGCTCCAAGTTATATGCATAAAGGAAGTACGATGCAAAGTAAAATTCAATTTTAAATTCTAAAGCAGCAACCACTGACAAAATGTCCTCTAAAAGTTTAACTACTTTTTTAACTAAGCAGCTATTTTCTTGTCTTTTATCATCCCAGTATCTAGGTGCTTATCAAATATATTAGTAAAATCAAGCTAAACTAAATTTGAAGTAAAATTTCTAGTAATGTCTGTGACTTTCATTCACCAAAATGTTACTTAATTCTCTGTTCTGCTTCCTCCTATTTCCAGCCCACCCTTAAAAACTTCTGCAATTAAAGTAACCCTAGAAAACTGCCTTATCTTAGAACATTTCATTGGATTAAGAGCCAAAATCACAAAAGGGAGAGATGTCTGAGAGTCTGATTTGTTATTACATCTTTCAGAAGATCACCTTTAAAATGGATACATATTTCATATATCCTCTTTTAATTTATATTTTCACTGGTATTTCACTCTATTGCCACCAAGGAGCAACTAATCTTCACATTTACAATTTGCATAATTAGTGATTGGCCGAAGAGGAGTATTGAAGATAAAATCTAAGATGAGAAATGGTGGGAGATTTATATAATTTAGTCTCTTTTGGTTGGCTGTTTCTCAACTGTGAATAGCAATGTTTCAAAAGACATTTAAGCAACAAGGTGCTAAGGGTGGAATGCTTGAAGAAAACAACCCTGTAATGGTCAACTACTTCAGTTATCTTGAATAATGAAATAAAACTCAGTTGCCTTTTTAAACAAACTTTTTCTGTCTTGAATGACTTTGGACAGAATAACATTCTGCTCGTTGTAAGCCTTGGTTATCATTTCTGATGTAATGGAAAATACAGCTGAACTCAATCAGAGGTCTTGGGTTTGGGCCTTGATTCTGCCAGTTTGTGGTAACTTGAGATAATTTCATCAGTTTGCTTCAAGTTCCTCCTTTCCTTCAATCTTCCAGAATGAGGAAGTTGCTGTTCAGGGTGGTTAGGAGGATCACCCAGAAGAGGAGCTCAGTGCTGGAGGACTGAATCCACAGTCTATGGAGCCTCAGGAGGTGGTGGCAGGGAAGCAGGTCTTTGCCACCAAACCTGTCTCAGAGAAGCTGCGCGAGATCCCGTACCAAGAGATGACGAGTCATGGGAGCGATTCTCTGTTGCCGCAGAAGTGGTGCACAGCAGCCCTAAAAGCCCAGTGGCGTGCAGTCACACATGCAGTCTACAAGTTAGGTAGGTCAGCGATTTAGACAGGGCATCTCTGGGTAGTTCCGGGTTTGCCTGGCTCACTCGGCTCAGCCCTTCTCTGCGTGTCATCCTGCATCCCAGGCGTGTTTTCATGAGGGGGCAGGGGGGCTCAGCCCCACAAGCCACTTTGTGGTCCCCTGCCTCCCTGCCGGCTTCCCCAGAAGGGAGCCCCCAGCTCAGCTCAGCCTGGAAAGGCGCCACGGAGGAGGAGGAGGAGGAGGGTATCTGGAGGTGCGAATCAGGCCCGGGGGCCATCCGTGCAGCAGGCGCAGGCTTTGTATTTACTTGCCAGTGAGGAGTAGGAGATGATGGTCCCACGCTGGGATCTGTTCAGCTCACCTGTGTTCACTCTACGGAGCATTCAGTAGAAACCTGTTCTAACACACACCGTGAAGGTGAGTTAAAACCAAAGCCATGTAATTTCTGTCTACTCTAGGTTCTTAATTGCTGTTGTCCCTGGCCATCATCATGTGACAGAATGTTACATGATTCACGCCACTTTCAAAACCTTGCTGGGACTTCTTATGTGCAAAGGAGCGGTTTGCCTCTTGTACCTCACACTGGCCCTTTCTGGAGACCTGGCATGCTTTAGGAAAGCTTCACCAGTGAGAACGAGGGATCACAGTATGTCGTAACTCTGACACACATTTTTTAAAAAAGGGAACACTGCAATTATCTGTGTCCTCTTGATCACAAATATTGCAGTTGTCTGGAGAGTCTGAGTCTCTGCTGTTGAGGAGGTTGGGAAGTGAGCATTTCTCTGTGATACAGCCCAGCTTGGTAGCCCCTGAAAGTGGAGTTGACGTTTTAGCCTTCAACTTTGTGTGCCCCTGTCTCCTTACCGTATATCTCAGGAGACTGGGTATTTCTCCTTGAGCACAGATTTGAACGAGCTCCCCACACTCCTCTTAATGGTCACTACTACTGTTGATGATCACGTTCATGAAAATACACGAAAATATTTTGTGGACTTTTATTGGGAGCATAGAGATGGAGCTCCTTTCATTTAACTTTATAATAAACACCCATTATTTTTGTAAAATACAAAAGCACCAGCAAAAAAAAAAAAGTCACCCACCCAGATAAAAAACAGAGAAAACCACTGCATGGTGTCATTTTTTCCCTCTCCTCCTTACTTTGGATATATGTATTTTTAACAGGAAATGTTTGAAGCATCTCCAGCAACACATTTAGTTAGAGGAAGCTATTACAAATCATAAGAAAAATCTCTCAAATGCATTAAGCAAGCCATAATTGACATGTATTTTTTTAACTTGCTTTGACCAACACAGAAATTTGCTGTTTGACAGATTTTAGACAGTTCATGCATGATTTTTTTTTATGTGCCTCACCTTGACTATTTACTTTGGCTGGTGTGTTTGGAACCAAACGTTTCTTTGTCATGTCTGTTGCAAGCGTCCTAAAATAAAAGTGTGCAGTGGAACCAAGGAATTTTATTCATCAACTAGCATTGTGTTTAGATATAATAAACATAGAAAATGTACTGGACATACATATTAAACATGCCACGCTAATCTATTAGTAATATTACAGTAAACCATGTGATTACTTTCTTGTTCATGTTTTGATAAATCATTGAGGCAGTTATTAGGTGAAGTTCTGTCTTTTCTTATTTTCCAACTTAAAAATGTATTATCCAAAAGTATATATTTTACATACAATCCAAAACTGTCATGCCTTGGTATTTTTTTTAAAAAGCTACACACTTATATCAGGATATTTTTTTTTCATGAAAAAAAATCAAAACTTCTGAACAATACATAGATATGGTTAAAAAAAAAAAAAAGAATTTCCTTCCATTCCAATCCACTTCCACAGCCCACCCTGAAAAAAGCCTTTGGTATTTTTGTCTTTGCTAAACATGGACTAGGAGCTAAAATTTGCAAGGAAAGTTGATCTTATCTCCAGGTTCTAAGAGGCCCCGAGCTGAGAGGTGCCTTTACTGTCCCTTGGGTGTCCCCCTGCTAGTACCACGTGATGCTCCAGAATTTTCCTTCTCACCACCAGTTCCTCCACCTCCCCTCCTCAGTCCAATGGCAGAGAATACTCGTCTTATGTCAAAACTAAGCCATGGGCTCAGAGCCCAGCTGGTTCTGTGTGGCTTCTCTAGAGGGCTTCCAATCAGTTATTCCTTCTCAGATTTTCAATTCTCAGTCACCGTTTGCCCCTTCCTACAGCCTGTACATACTCAGTAACTCCCACTCTAAAAGACAACAGGAAAGTGCAGACAAATGTCCTTGCAACTCTGTTAGGACTCTGTCCCGCTGTTCCCAGCCACGTGTGTTGAGATCCATTTGTACCAGCCACCCTTGATCTTCCATCCTACCCTCTTACCAAAGTCACCTTTCTGTTCCACTTGCCCCTGGATCCTGCATTTGTCTTTTCCCTTTGACTGGGAGGAAGCTGTGTCCTGTCCAAGGCTAATTCTTGAATTAATATCAGAGTTTCGATGACCAGTTTCCCAAATGGAGTCACAAGGAGAGCTTTTAAAATGCAGCTTCCCTGGCCTCCCCTGAGGAATCTTGACTTAGCAGGTCTGGAAAGGAGTGTGGGAGCTGCATTTTAGAAAGCCCGAAGTGATGGTCAGCGAGCAAACCCCGGCTTTAGACCTTGTTCCCTGTGGGCTTTCAGACTTGCCCTGTCTGTGCCATTCTCTTTTCCCACCTCCCACACATTGCATCTCAGACCATGCAAAAGAAAGTCATACTTTCTTCATTTCATATCATTAATTTAAAATTCCTCGTGAGCCCCATCTAGCTTTATTTAGGAGGGTGTGGGACGTGGGAAATGACCTTACACTTGCCAATCAAAGATAACTCATTCTCTTATTCTTGAGCATCTAATTGCCTCTTTGGAATAAATGCTCAGCTTTTCAAGGCATCTTCCAATTTTCCTCCTTGAGGTGGCTTTAGCAGGTGGGGGAGTAGAAGTCATCTCTGGGTGACAGGGGAAGCGGTTCCACAGTGCATGTGCTCAGTTCCTTGGGCAGTCTTGCCGCTGGTGAGCCCTCCTGCTGTCTCTGTTCAGTGGCTGTTGCCCTCACTGAATCTGCTGGTGCCCTGTGAGTGACTCTGGCTTTTGTCCACATGTCGGTATGTCCCGTTCATGCCTCCAGTCTGCTGTTGCCTTTGGTTTCAAGGTCTCCATTGTTCAACAGCCTTCATTTTCCAGCTTTAGGACTGTTCATCTGGTTGACTCTTGGGAAAGGAGGAGATTGGAACTTTGGGATGTCCTGAGCATCTTGTTCAAGTTTGGGCAGCCAACAGGCTATTATCAGACTCCCTGGTCTGTTCCCTCTGCCAGTCCTGAGCTCGTGCCTCCAAGCGGTGCTGTGTTGCATATGCCTCTGAGTCATAAGAAGGACTTCTCTGAGTGGCTCACCAGGTTATGCCTAGGAAAGTGGTCCTCTCACCCATCATGCTATTTTGGTCTCACTCTCCATCCTCATCCTGCCTCCTCCACACATACACGAGTTTTAACTCTGAGAGGAAGGAAGGTGAAGTTCCGGGCATTATTTCTTTACAACCTACTTTGCCTTTCTGAATCCTCCTCTGTCCCTGCCCTAGGAGTCATTCCACTTTCTCCCTAATGAAATGACTCTCCTTACTTCATATCGCAAATTCCCCCTATCTCTGTTCTAAAGAAAACTCTGCATTCAGTTGTCCAAGCTGTGCTTTTGGTATGTGAATGGAACTCTTGGAATTAAGATCTCCTTTTTCATTCTCAATAAAACCTGGCATTCAAGACTCCTTATCTTCATCTTAGAGATGCCGGAGAACAGTAAAATAATAAAAAAGACTCTAAATGTCACAGTTATGGTACAAATCTAGTATATATCCTTTTCTGTCCTGCCATTATTAAGCATCAGGGCCTAGCTTTAGTGGAAGACTGCAGGAGGAAGACTATAGGAGGAAGATGGATTCTTTTAATATCATCAAAGTGTTGGCTCTACATAGATGTTCTCACCCCAGACATGCTCTTTTTTTTTTTTTTTTTTTTTACGCTAACCACTCTTTTAATAGCACAGATTCATTTCCATTGTTTTGGTACCAGACATGCTCTTTCTGGCTTCCGTGTTTGCCTGTTCTGGTCCTAGTAACTTGAATGTCCTTCCCTTTTCAATCTGATACAACGCTAGTCATCCCTCAAAGTCTAGGTCACATCTCTTTGGACCTCTCTTCATTCGCTCCAAACTTCCTTGTCTTTCTAAGCATTCCCTCTGTCATTTGCCTCTACTGGTAGGAGAGCATTTATCATGTTATAATTAGGCCTAGGTACACTCAATTTCCTTGCTAAATCGTGAGCTCCTTTCTGCCTTGGAAAGCTCTCCAGCCTTCGCTCTGCACTTCCAAATTTATCCGTTCTTCTTGACCCAGTTTAAATTCGCTCTCCTGTGTGAAGTCTTCCCTAACCACTGCGACCGAAAATTCCCTCCCACCATGGCAACAACTGGCAGCAGCGCTTGGAACCTCATGAGAATGTAGATACACAAGAACTCACATGGGAGCACATGGGGTGACAGGGGTGCACGTGAATGGAAACGACAGGCAGTTTAACAGAATCAGGGCTTTTGGGAAGAATGGTTTAGATTCGATCAGCACCACTTAGGTTATAAGCTCCTTGAGGTCAGAGGCTAAAATCAGTTTTTCCCAAACATTTTTAAAAAATCCATCCTACATCATCGTGTCCACTTCAACATTCCCAGCAGTGCCTTTATGCCTAGCGGGCATACAATAAAGGTTTCTTGATCAACTGACAGGGGCTCAGAAAAACTCTCCTGATTGATCCTCTTGTGATGCCTTTCTTTTGTGAGAGCTCATTAATTTTTAAGTTGTTTCCCTCAAAATGCTTAGTATGCTTCTTTGTTCCTTCCACCACTCCTTTTTTTTTCTTTTGCCTTCCACAGGGTTCCCTCTTGATCAGCTGCTCTCGTTTTCTCCTTGGTGACTCCAGGTTCTGGCAAGCCCTGAAATGAGAGTGAGTTTGGGGTAGGAGCAGGGGGAGAGGTGGGATTGAGGATCAGTCCAACCCAGTTCATGGAAGTGAATGGTACCTGCAGGTGCTAAGGCACTTCTCTGGGTTCCAGGGCAGCCTTTTTACAAAGCAACAGCGGCCATGAGCCTTGTGGTTCTCATCCTTTCCCTGGAAACCAAGTGAACTTGGCTTAGTCCTTACCTTCTGTTCAGGGCTGGGGGATAGGAGTTAGATTGGTCTCAGTGGAAGCTGCAGATACTGCAGTGTGGTCCTAAGGAACATCCCGTGGCACTCCAAACCTTGGGGGACAGTGGTGCTCACTCCCACCAGAAAACCTCCAGGTGGATAACTGTGTCTTTGGAGAACAAGGAAGCTGTTTTGACGTGAGAAAACCAGGAGCGGCGCCCCTTGAATCAAGGGAAGGAGGAGGATGCGGAATCTAGAAGATGGTGCCAGAGGGAGGGTTCAGCCATAGTTAGTTGCGCCTGAGGATGCCTGGGGCTATTTTTATTTACATTTCTACATCAAATATGGTGCTTGATCAACTAGTCTTTTGAAACACTGGTCACTGTGGATACTGCAGGAGAAAGACTCTACCTGTTTGGGAGAACTTGAGATGCTGTCATGGATGTAGCCAGTTCCGATCATAAAGCAGTGTGGAATCAGATCAAAAGCACAGTCTGAGGCACAAAATGCCTCAGGATCCTAGAAGGAGCACTGAGGCTGGACCAAAGTGGGGAGGGGAGGGTGGGCAGCACTGACTTTGAGAACAAGGCCTGAGCAGAGGCCCAGTGGGGATGGCGAGCGTGGAGGAAGGAGGTGCAGGGGATGAGTGGTAGAGAGCAGGAGTGGGCAAAGAGAAAACCCAGGAGGTTCTAGAACTGGGAAATGACTTGAATGGTGGCTGTTTAGTTTCTTTTCGTATGTGAACAATTCGGAATTTGCTTGGTTCCTCGAACTCCGGCATCAAGTTACTTCTTCCTAGGATGAGGAGCCATCCCAAGGCCCTGCAGTATCTGGCTGTGTTGTTTGGCAGCGGCTTCTCAGTGACTGTGCTCTGATGAGCTGGTCTAGGCGGCCAGGATGGTAGGGGCCCTCTGACTTCATGTCTGCAAGGGTACGTGTTTCCACTACATAATTACCAGCATTTAGCAGACTTTCATCGGCCCTCTTTAGGATGGCTTTTGGCAAATGGGGTAGAAATCTATCATGCATTTAAATCATTAGACTCACAGACATAGAGAGCAGACTTGTGGTTACCAAGGGGAGGAGTAGGGAGAGAGTGGGCTGAGAGTTTGGGGTTAGTAGATGCAAACGATTACATATAGAATGGGTAAGTAACAGGTCCTACTGTATAGCACGGGGAATTATATTCAGTATCCTGGGATAAATGATAATGGAAAAGAATGACAAAGAATGTATATATGTGTATACCTGAGTCACTCTGCTGTACCATGGAAATTGACACAACACTGTAAATCAACTATACTTCGATTGAAAAAGAATTAAATAAAAACATTATACCTAAAAAAAAACCCCCAAAATTGTTCCTAGTCTCCTCTTAAAATGTTTTCTGTAGAAGTCCACCGCACTCCATATTCAAGTATGTCTCAGACCAGGAAGCAAAAGGAAGTAGGTAGCTTGTTCTTCAGGGTGGAGAATGGAGAACTCTCTACCCAAATAACAGGTATGTGGTAGGAACATGACATCTCCCTCACTACTTAGTCATCAGGTGAGGAGGGGGTGGGGGAGTGCTCTGTGTGGGGAAGCCTCAGAAGATTTAAAGGGAGTTGCAGACAGACAAGGCTGAACCTTGGCTGTCATCCAACAAAGCTCTTAAAAGACTGGAGTCACGGCCCGTGTTTGAGCTCTGACCTGGACCTGGGAGATCTGGCGCACAGTCAAAAGAGTGCTTAATTGTCTTTCTGGTTCTGGCTCCTCTTTAGCCCCCAGGAAGGGGGGCAACGGGTGGGCTGTTCTTCACGACAGCACATATCTAGACTGACTCGCCTACTTTAAAACCCCCTGCGGGTTTCTGGAAACTCCTCCCTGGTTCAGTTTTCAGAATGAAGGGTGTCGTCCCCCCACCCCTATCCCCTGACCCTGCCTGCTTCTAGCCTGGATAACTGACTTCCCTTTACCACCCACTGACATCCACCACGTGCTTTAGGGAACTGAATAAAAGGAAGGGGGTGGGGGTGACTAGAGGATCTGCAGGCCTGACCTGCAGTGTAGAGACTGCCTGTTTCCATGGCAACACAGAGCTTCTCCCTCCCCGCTGGCCACCAACAACGACAAAGATGCAGAGGACAGACTGACTCCTGTGATGCTGTTGTGGAAGACTTGACTGAGAATCCTCCCTTGAGCTCTGCCTGTGACACCATCAGTAGTTCTTGACTAGGAGAGGGCACATTGTGGGAAACAGCCCAAGTGACCCAGTGGATGACCACGTAAGGGGCTGTTCGTTGTGAGCAATAAAGGTAGAACTAAAGCCGTGGGACTTCTTTTCTCTGTCATTTGTAAATTACCTCTGATATAAATTATTTTTTAAATTTATTTATTTACATTTATTTATTTTCGTCTGAGCTGGATCTTCGTCGCCGAGCAGGCTCTTCTCTACCTGCGGGGAGCGGAGGTTCCTCTCTAGTTATGGAGGGCAGGCTTCTCATCACAGTGGCTTCTCTTGTTGTGGAAACGTGGGCCCTAGAGCACAGCCTCAGTAGTTATGGTCCACGGGCTCTGTTGCTCCGCAGCATGTAGGATCCTCCTGGACCAGAGATCAAAGCCATGTCCCCTGCATTGGCAGGTGGATTCTTCACCACTGAGCCACCATGGAAGCCCTCATATAAATTCTTAAAGTCCAGAGATATTTCCAGCAAAGCAAGGCTCACAGAGGCACACTGTCTTAGGTGTGTGGCCAGGGTGCCGGGAACTGTGCTAAGGGCTCTACATTATCTCCCTGAATCCTTACGACACTCCTGGTAACATCCTCACTTCAAAGGTTGGGGAAACTGAAAACCACACAGGTTGGAATCTTGCCCAGGCCCCTTGACCGATGAGTGGTAGGGTGGGATTTGAGTCCAGGGCTCGAGGAACAGAGCTTGAGCTCTAATCCCTGACACTGCCTTGCCCCTCTTGACTTTGAAGGGTATCTCTCATCAGAACATAACAGATCCACTGATTTAAGAATACTTGTGGTACAGTCATCCTCCCTTTTCTGAAGTTTCGCTTACTATGATTTCAGCTAACCATATCAACCGTGGTCCAAAAATATTAAATGGAAAAATCTGGAAATAAGCAATTCAGAAGTTTTAAATTACACATGTTCTGAATAGCTTAATGAAATCTCGCACCATCCTGCTCCATCCTACCTGGGATATTCAATCACTTCTTTGTCTAATGTTCAGTTCAGTCACTCAGCCATGTCTGACTCTTTGTGACCCCATGGACTGTAGCACTCCAGGCTTCCCTGTCCATCACCAACTCCTGGAGCTTGCTCAAACTTATGTCCATCTAGTCAGTGATGCCATCCAACCATCTCATCTTCTGTCGTCCCCTTCTCCTCCCGCCTTGAATTTTTCCCAGCATCAGGGTCTTTTCCAATGAGTCAATTCT